AGAAAAATGAAAGTAAAAAATGAAAAAATAAGAAAAAATAAAAAGAGAAGGACGAACGTCTGCGCTGCTTACGTGGTAAATTGAAAATGCTTTGCATACTCGCCGGAGATATATCCCTTGGGATATACCTTATGAGACCGGAAGGATTCCCATGGGGCTTTTTCTTGTAAACGCGAGCCTTGCATTAGCTATGAAGAAGGGTAGGAAGCAAATAGGAAGAAGAAAAATATATAAATAAAAAAATAAAAAAAATAAACAAGTAAAAAAGAAACTAAACAGGACTCTATATTTTTCTTCGATTGCAACTTCTAAAGACTAAACTAGCTATGTACTTCTAAAGGCAACTGTTTTTTACGTCGATAAAAATGTTTTTTTCTTAAATTTAATGATTCTGAATTAAATAAAGGAATGTACAGAGAGATATATTAATTTTTTCTATGTAGTCATTGGTAATAACAATACTTTTTGTAATTAACTGTAATAAGAATAAAAGATTAGTGAAAGTTAATAATCATATATAAAAAAAGCTAACAATAAATATAAGTTATTTGATATTTCAACAAATTCAGATCAAAGAATTTCTATGAATTGAAATTACTTTTAATTTCTATGGGCAAACTCTATGAGAATTTGTCTTATTTCTTCTTTTTATTTATCTCGTAAATTCATGAAATATACTTAAAATTAATAATAGCAAATAAAACTTCTGAGTATAAATTAGATATTAGTCGAACAAATCAAAATCTAAGAATTTAAACAAATTTTGATTACTTTTCATTTCAATAGTAAGCAGATTCTAGAAATTTACTCTCTCTCTTTCTCTCTTTCTCCACCCCATAAAATCGTTTTATCCAGAATCTTGCTTGCAGTTCCTTGAACATACATATTTACCTTCTCTTGCTGGGATAAAGGAAAGTGGTATGATACGCATACCTACACACATACATCTACACACACGCATACATAGATATATACGTAGCACATTTTGTTAGCGATACAAATTCGAGATAAGGGCTCGTACCGTCAAGGGAAAGCTTCAAAATATCCTTACTTATGTCGTTGACTAGTTCGATGCAATTCAAACTTCTCAAAACTTTCTCCAACGAGTTTGAGAAAGTAACGGGTTAGTAAATAATTATAACATTTTAATGGTTCGTGTATAGTCTAAGTGAATGTTTATTAACAAGTGTGTTTCACGCGATACCGATGTTTGTTACGGGTGTAGAAAAGATAAGCATATATGTCAATTTGGTTGGAAATTATTTACTTTTACTACTGGTTGACTATAAAGCGTATGTACTACTTTATCTTTATAGAAGACTTATAAAAGTTTGAGAAAGCAATTAATGTTGTTATGAATTATTACACTTTAATGTTTTATCTATAATCTAAATGAATACTCATTAACAAGTGTGTTTTGTGTGATATCGATGTTTGATATACGTATAGAAGAGTCAAGCGTGTATGTGAATTTGGTTGGAAATTATTTACTTTTACTACTAGCTGACCACAAAGCTCGTTTACTACTTGCTTCTCTATAGATGACTCATAGAACTTTCACAAATATTCGTCATTATGCGAACGATTAATTTGAAAGATATATTTAATTAGTTATGATTCCATTAATTTAGTACATTAAACATATTAGTTATAATTTAAATTGAATCAAATTTTTAAGTTAAAGTAATAATGAAAATAAACATAAAAATAATATGAATAGAAATATTGTTAGAAGAAAATAAAACTAGAAAAATTTAGAGTAAAATTAAAAAAATGTAAGGTAAAAATAAAATATACATAGAGTTAATAATTGAATTGATCAAAATATTAACAAATCAAAAATATGCATGTAATGTATGTCTTTAGAATAAATATCATGGTCATCTTGATGAGAAAAGAAACGTAAAAGGCCGATATTTGCGCATACAGGGCTTTAAGTTTTCAGTTTGCTAGGGAAGTTTTGGCGAAACCACCTGAAAGAGCTTTCGCACGCTCTAACATATAATACGTATGAAGCGAAACCGCTGAAAAGAGACGACATAAAATGAGTGTACGCGATATTGATACTTCCAAAGGCTTTCCCATCTTGAAAGAAGAAGAGAAGGAGAGAGAGAGAGAAAGAGAGAGATAAAAAGAGAGAGAGAGAACTTTATCGAGAAGAAATTTTATAAAAATTTTACAAAAATTTCTTTCCTATCTAATTTCACGGAAAGTAAAATTGACTAGAAAACTTAGAAGAGTATGGATGTTAACGTAATAGACTCATAAAGTTTCTTAAAACTTTTTTTTATAGAAATATTATCAATTATTATTTTAAGATATAATTAAAATTTGTCCTCTTTATTCGTGTAAAATTAAATTTTACTTCTAATATTTCTAAGATTTTTTAAAGCAAATTTATAGAGAAAAAGAAGTCTAAAATTTAGTATCTGTAACGTACAAGTAGACATAATCTCATTATTATCTAACAAGAGTATCATTTCTCCTGAAAAATATTATTTAACAAGAGTAAGATATTTCATACAAAAAAGAAAATGAAAAAAAAGTGGACAAAAAAATTAGAAAAGATATAAGATTAAACATATTACAAATAAAAATTCACAATTGATACCAAAATTTCGAGTCTTCCAAAAAGGAGAGAAAAAAAAATAATACGATACTAATCAAAAATAAGAAAAAAGCTAATACGAATAAAAACGACGTGGAAAGGGATAGAACAGGAGAAAAAAAGGGTGGGAAAAACAAAGGATGTGGGAAAGGGTGAGGGAAAGGGTGAGGGAAAGGAAAGAAAAAAAAGAAAAAGAAGAAGAAAAAAAAATGGGGATTTTTAGCTGAGATCCTCCAATCTGCCTGCTTGCCTGCCTTCCTGGCAGCGAACACGTTCAACATTTCTGACTGCTCGCGGACAAAAAGTCTCGTCCTCGATGAAATCTAGCCGGCGGTGGTATTGTGACCTTACTGCGTCCTCCTTCACCTCCACTCTCAACCCCATCCTCCCCCCCCCACTTCCTCATCCTCACCCTCAATCTAGCAGCCTCAGCTTCATAGCCTCACCCTCACCCTCACCATCATCCTCATCCTCATCCTCAGTTTCACCCTCTTCCTCCTCTCCTCCTCTTTCCACTACTTTCTCATCCTCCCACTCTAATCTGACCTCCCACCCTGACCTAGCCTAACTTCGCGACGGTGGCGGCGTCGCTGCGCCATTGAGACGACGCCCAGCTGCAGTTACATCCCTCGGGCTGGAACGCTCGACCGAGTCACGTTGCGTTTCCCTACACATACATACGCACACTCTCTTACACAGATATGAGGAAACATAGAAGCATAGACATAGACAAATGTAACCCTCTACCCTTTACTTTCGAAGCACCTACAAACCTCGTTTCGTACTTCTTACTGATTTATATTACCCATCGATTCCCTTTCCCTTTCGTTAATGCTTTTAAAATTTAATATTTTATATACTTCTTTTTTATTTTCCTCATTTGTTTAAAAAAGTAGAGATACGAGTATTGAATTTTCAGATTTATTTTGTTTTAAATGAATGTAAATATTATTATTTAATATGAATGTTCAAAACGATTTATGTTGAATTTTGATATCAAATTTTGATTGAGATTCTAGGCATTATTTTTCCTTATATACATACACACACACAGATACAAAAGTAGGATCTATGGAATCCTACATCTCTTACTTACAATTTAACATACAAGTTTAGTTTCACATTTCTTGCCGATTTATAATTGCTATACGAGTTAATCATTTCCCATTTTGTTTAATATTCGAATATTTTATTACTAAATAAAATATGGAGATTATATACATATCAATGATAAAGAGTATGAATTTATTTTTATTGATAGAAATATTTTTTAAATTATATTTAAGATTGAGATAACGCGTGATATTATATTAGTTTATCGGTTTAATTCTCAAGGGTGTTTTTAATTCTCTCGATGTACAATGATAATTTATGATTTACAGAAATTCGAATAAATGGTCGAGATTCGATCAAAAATGGTCGATAAAATTTTGTCCATCGTAACATTCAAATTAGTTATCAAAAATTGTCAATGATCCAACGTTTACATAATCGTGGAAAGAAAATTCTTTTTGACATTTTTATTCAAATAAATAAATAAATAAATAAATGAATTAATGAATAAATAAATAAATGAATAAATACTTACATAGAATTACGAGGAATGATCCCGAGAAAGGATAGGTAATGTTAGTAGAAATACGAGTGAGTTTAGAGAATTCCAACAAGTTCAGACATTAGGACAAAAAGGATGATGAAAAGTTAAACGTTACAAGGTTTAGAGTTACTTTTGCATCACTAACACATAAACACATACATACACACACCCACATACACGTATATATAAATCTAAGGATAGAGTAGGCGTGGCACTTTTCATTGCCTCATTGAATGCTCTTAAAGGAAATATAAAAGAAAGAAAGAAAAAGAGAAAGAGAGAAAAAGGATTGCAAATGTGTGCGTGTGTGAATCAAAGAAATTATCAAGTTAAAGGGGGATAGAAAGGGAAATGATGCAAAGGCCTTTGGCGTGAAAGATGAAGAAGATTGAAAAGAGAAAAATTATTGATAGAGAAAGAAAGTCAGACAGATAAAATAAGAAAAAATGAATGGTGCGTAAGGGATGGATAGAAGAAACATTCTATACGGAGAAAAAGAATTAGAGAAAATGAAAGAGAGAGAGAGAGAGATAGATTGATAGAAAAGTAAGCAATGATAGAAAGAGAAAGATATATGTACATGTTAGAAAGAGAACAAAAATAAAAAGAGTGAGTGAGAGAGAGACGATTTGAAAAAGGAAGGGGTAGTTTCGAGTTAGAGGGTGAGACTAAGAGAATAAGAGCAAGAGAGAGAGATAGAGAGGGCGCAAACGTGGTACTTGTGGAGGGGTTTGGGGAAAGTGAGAGGAAGATAGAGAGCAAGACAGGACGGCGATTTCAGTCACCGCCCGATCCTCGGCGCGCACGGTTTTCGGATGGGCTTTTTGTCGTCTATTTCTCTTCACTTCTTTTTTTCTTACAACGAACTATCATCTAAACAATTATATAAGAAAAGTGCTTCTTTTAATTATATGCGAATCGTGGTTAGAAAAAAAAATTAATTACCATTAAGTGAACTGAAATTTTCCAGAGAACATTTAATATAAGAAAAAAAAAAAAAAGAAATGAATAGAAGAAGATAATAAATTTGGTGAACAAGGATACGTGAACTTGCAATGAACGTTAATAGTGTATTTAAAATAAAGTGAAATTACTTTTTTATTATTGCTGTTGTTTTTATTTTATTTTTTGTTGTCCATTTTAATATGGTACAAGAAGAAAATGTTATCAGTGAGTTTGATAATTAGTTATGTGACACTAACATCGATACGTTCATTTAAATCTATCTTCTAATTGACGTTTATTTAGTATTATTGTTAAAATTAATGACAAGATTTACTAATCTCGTTCTTTTTCGATCTACATATCTTGACCTCGTGACTTGTGCGTCATTCGCGCATAGTACATGGACATGCGTATATATGTAAAAGGATTTTTCTTCTTTTCCTTCGTTCCTGTTGTAACACAGTGTGATACCAGTGTAATCAACAATTTTCAATAAAAATTATTACATAAAAATAAAAATATTTAAACATTCGTGAAAGAATGATAATGTGAGATAATAAAAAATTATATCATAAAATCGAAAACAAATAAATAAAATTAGATCAAAGGATATTGTTTGTGTATTGTCGTAATAATAACGCGAGTGTGTTAATCGTGCTGTATTATTGATAATATTTTGTATGTTATTCGTAAAAAGAAAAAACTATAAATAAAAGATCAACGAAACTGTAAAGGAACCTTCAAGTGTGGTATACGTTTAGTTATTCATTTAAATTTCAAGAAATTTCTACAACGCGAGTGAGACATTAAAGATTTCGAACGAGGTACATTAAAACGTTTATAAATCGTGCAAACATTTTTTCAACAAGAAGATCGATAGTTTTGCGAGTTTTCTTATTGTCGTCAATTTTTTCACCATTCGTAACCATCAAAGATTTAGTTTTCTTTGGATTTATTTAATTTCTTTGACGTTATTTCACAAGAGAATGCAGTCCGCCGAATGTTCGTGACGATTACAGGTAAATATCATCGAATATTTTGCACACGATTCAGTTTTGATCAACCATTTTTTGCTTCCCTTCTATTTTATTTTCATATTTTTTCTTTTTCGTATTTTTTCGTATTGTATTTTTATTTTATTTAGTTAGGATTATTCACGATTCGTAAAATAAACCTTTTTTTCCACTCGACGGATTCGATTGTTTTTTTGTTATATTCGATAACAGAACAAATAATTTGCAACAAATAAAAAAAATAAATTAATAAAAAAAAAGAAGGAAGAAGAAAAAAAAGGAGAAAAAAATGTGTAAAAGCTACAACGAATTTAAAGCAACGAGCTAACCTAAAGTTCTTTATTTCCCAACGGTTTTCAACGGTTTTTATCGCATAAATTTTCTACCTAGACGCAGGAAAAATCAAGCGAACAAGCGTGTCACTGGCACACCTAATTTCATTCTTCTGTGAGATCGAATGAGATAAAATATAGAGAAAAAAAAAGTGAGAAAAAAGGATTCATTTCCTGCAACGAATTGGACTGAAAATCATTTTTTTCTACGACCCAACATATTCGATTTTATAAATTTGTTTAATTGATAAATTAAAAAGTAATCGAGCGCGTCGCATGTTTACGTATATGCAAATTTGTGCCAAATATTTCGAGATATTTTGTTTATTAATTTTTATATCGATTTATAATATACGAAGGTGGGTTGAAAAATGTTGATTTTCAAGAAAAAGAATTTTTTCCTTTTTTTTGTAACTAGAAATGAGAGTGACCAAAACAAGAATTATTTCTATGTTAGAATTGGAAAATTTGAATCCACCCACCTATAAATTAATTGAAAATAAAAATAAGAACGATTTGAAATATTGGATTCACAATAAATTATTAACTTGGAAGTAGGTGATACTACATTATGAGAATAACATCGATCATTATTTTCGTGTTCGTGTACATACATACATACATATATATATATAAACATACACATACAGACTATTACTTTAGCCTTTGCTAAAGGTATATACTTGTCATTATTTTATTAACGTGTAATCAGCACTCATTATAAATTATATCAAATAGTTGTATATATCTATAAACATATATTTTCATATTCCGTTTAACGAGTAAGCTTTGAGAATCGAGTACCTCTTTCTATATAAAGTGATTATCGTTTAAATAGAGTATCATATTTACAAGCATATAGAAATGAAATTTCTATTCAAAAGCACAGTCGCGTTAATCAAACGATGCAAATGTTATACATAGATATGTATACGTATACATATGTATATATGTATATGCAAAATATGTATGTATTTTTAATGTATGCATTTTCAAATTCTATTTTCAATTATTAATTTCAATTTCGAGAGAATATTTCCGAATGCTTTGGCATCATGGTAGAAAAACAAAACAATTGTAACTACTTTTTCGTTTAATTTAACAATCTATTATTTTGATCAAACAAATAAATTAATATGATGTTTATATCATTTTTTGGCGATTTGTAAATTATTTACGTAATTAGTATAATGATTTACAATAAGATGCTTGGGTAGTGATTTTTCCTTGCATGTAAAATGGTGGAATCTTTTTTCTTGCTTCTTTTTCTAAGCTCAATACACGTGTAAAAGTTCATAACATATAAAAACGTAACAAACATTATTTATACATACTTAATATTCTTATATTTAATTTGTATTCACAAAAACTTGATTTTGCTGAAAAGTGAACAAGTAAAATTTTGGCACGAAACAAACAATTATCGCACTTTCCATCATCTTGATTAATAAAGTATTTCCATCTCAATGTATAATATGATAGCGATATCCTTTGTTCAAAGCGTTGCAATTACGAATTAACTATTCCATCTACTTCAAATTAATTTTACCAGCTAACCCTTATTTTTTCACAAAAATAGATGCTTTTAGGTTAGTTTTTATAATATTCCATGGTGGATATCGTAAAGTTAGAAAAAAGTGTTACAAACTGTTCTAAATGTGATCGTAAATGTAACACTTTTGTAACTTATTTAAAAGTAACTTTCGTGTTCTTCTGACTTCGTATAATTTTATGTTCTTAAGAATTTTTTTATTACTGTAACTTTTCCTTCTTCGAATATCCTGAATTCAATATCGTTTAAATACGACATATAATAAATTTTTTATCGACAAATTTATACTTAACGAATTTAATGAAAATGTTTTAAAATATGTTCAAAAGATGATTGAATTGTTTGAAGGATAAATAATAAAAAAAATATAAAGAACATACATACGTTTGGTAGATTTGTTGGACTAAATAGTAGTGAGACGTTGTTTCAATTATTTTGTTAATACGTACGAATATACACACACACATATAAATGCATGTACATGTACGGTTGAACGATCCAATAGCAAATTAAATTCCACTTATTAAAATGATCACCATTAATATATTTTGATTTCTATTTATCAATTGTGAAATATGAAGAATGACTATATATATATATATATATATATATATATTTCATTATGACGACGATTACTATAGATAAATTCGTTGAATAATTTCGATTATATTGTATCATGCGATTGAATCATAGCTTTGTGAATTTATGAAGAAAATAATTGAATTTAGATTGTAAATTTTAATTGTTAAAGGTGTCGAGAAGTAATTTACTTTACCCTTGAATTTTTTTAAATTGCTGGATAATTAACCTTCTGAGTATCAAAGTTTCAGGAGTCTTCGCGTGAGTGGTTGTAGAGGTATAGCCAATCAAGTTAAAGTTTGTCATTATTTAGAGTAATGATACAGTATTAGTTTGCTCGCATGTTCACTTCTCTATCACTTGTTTCAAAAATCAGTGCCTTAGGTTATAAATTTAAGTATAATTATTTAAAGTTATAAACAATATCTTCTTTTTCTTTTTACTTGCATATGACATTTATGATACATTGATGAAAGTCGATTAAATATATCGAATCTATCGAATCTATCAATAAAACAATATTCATATAAATACACGTATTGTAAAAGAAACTTTTATTTTTTTATGCTTATAATTTTCATCATTAAATTATTTATTACATTTTCCAGTAATAACGATGAAATCTATTTTTTAAATATTACTTTTAATTTAGTTTAGTTTTTATTTAGTCTGTTTAATTAGTTTGCAAGTTTATATCGTGTCGTAATAAAATATTTTTAATATTATATATTTCTTATGTAAAATATATATATTATTAGTAAAAGACTTACTTTTTTTTTTATATCAGTAATTATAAAAATTTAAAAATATTAATGAATTATATTTTATATCATTGAGATAATTTAAATTTAAAAAAATATGAATAAATATATTTGATATTTTAACTTGACTTCGATGGTTGCCAACTCTTACTTGAGTAGCGTAATGTAAAAGGAATGTAATTAACTTGTGAGTGCTTTGAAAAATATTGTTCGCCGATTCGATTTCAATCAGTGAATTTTTTCTTGGTAATATTTATTTTTATATCATTATTTATTAAGTTATTATAAAATATCGTCTACTTATTTATGTATATAATTCTTGTCAAATCTCGTTATTTATCTTGTTTAAAATGAATTGAATTATCGATATGTAAATTGTAATGTTTTTTTTTTATAATCCATTTTCGTAAATGCTTAACCTATTGTTATTAGATTATTTTATTTAATTAAATATCGAATCTACATATGCATGTAAAATATATGTAAAATTAGTACATGCGTATGTATACTACGAATAATGTTTCTATGCTAAATCGTTTGAATTTGTTCATACAGCGATAAAACTACGAGTAGTGATGAAAGAAAAAAAGCATCAAAAACAACAGCGACGACGATTCGTGAGAACGTTTTTAAGAAGCATCGAAATTCCACGAAGAGAACGCAGGAAAGAAAAGTTCATTGAAAAAAGCCGAGAGGAATCGATGAGAATCAAGACGAGTCGAGTGAAGGTCTTACGTGGTTGTTATCATTCTTGTGAACACTCGATCTTTATGTATAACACGAGGTATGTATGTATTACTATTCAGTTAACATAAATTGTAAACATCATTGTATTTCTAAACGTATTTAATTGGATAACAATTTTAGAAATATTTGAAATAATATATATACGTATATATGTATAGGATTGACCAATAATTAATTAGAGAATTTTTAATAGTTTATATTTAAATAAATAATACACTATACAGTTTTCTTTATCTAAATAAATGAAATTTATAAATATGTTACAAATATATATTACAAATTTATATTTATAATAAAACTATATTACATATTATGAATTATTAAATATATAATATATAGTTTAGAGAGAGAGGGAGAGAGAGAGAGAGAGAGAGAGAGAGAGAGAAACATTTTTTTGTATATTTTATTTTTTTAAATAAGAAACACATCATTATATTACATATTAAAAATTGCTACAATATTTATTGGACCGACTCAATAGTTAAAATCTCTAAAATTGAGATTAGCATATCAAATTATAGTATAGTTGCCAAAATGAAAGTGAAACAATATTATTATTGCAAATATATATACATACCTAAACACAAAGTAAAGTTTCCACATTTAACTGTTGATGTGAAAAGTTAATGTTTTTATAAAGCTTATGGATTAAGTGTTAATTATATATACATAATAAACAATTATATAGAACACGTATTTCATCATAAATATTGACATCGATATTACCTAACGACAAGCGTAAAATCGAGCATTCAGAAAGTAACCTTTTTCAGTTACCTCCAAGAACACTGTTTGTCTCTTCTTATCCTTCTTTATGTCGTTCAAAGTATGACAAAGATGACGACTGAACACGAACCATCTCATCAACTTTTCTCCTCACTATTCTCTTTCTCTCTCTCTCTCTTCTCTTGTCCTTGCTTAAAGTTTCTTCGATAATCCGATCAAAAACTCGTTGACTATCGGAAAACCTTAGACATTCTGATAATATCATTAAACGTACGTCTCTTAATTGCTTCTTCACCTACTACTCCTTTTCAACCCCTTTTACCTCTTCTCTCCTTGCTCATCTTCCTTAATACTCTTCATATTTATCTTACCAACCAATGAAAATTTTCTTATTTGACAGACAAAACCTCATGTATTATCTTTTCCTTCTTTTTACGAATTTTATCTTAGGGAGAAGATTCTAATGTTATTTATTATGTAATGTTTCTAACGACATTAATTCGATTATTTTTATTTTTTTATTTTAAATTTTTGTGTAATTAATATATTGAATTTTAAAATGGTTATTAAAAACGTTGACATATTACTTTTTGATTGACATATAATATTATTTTCAAATATTTTTATATGATGAAAATTAGAAGAAATTGATAAATTTATATACATTGTTATATAAATTATTATTGAAAGTGCATAAACAATGTTTTTTTAATTAGTAATGTTAAGTTTAATAAAGAAGACAGAAAATTTATTTTTTATATTAAAATTAAAGCATCGAGATAAAGTGTTTATTTTCGTTAAGAATTTACAAAAAAAAAAAAACCATTATAAAACTAAATTTAATCAATTTAGTCTGTGAACGCGGATATTATATTTTGTTTTGTATTTTTTTTCTTTTTCTTTCTTTTTTCTTTTTTAAAATCGATAAAAAAGTGAAGTGTTATTGCTCGGTAGATATGAACTTTAATAAAGATTATTCACGAATACTACATACAACTTATTAACTATTATAATTTAATTATACGAAGTACAGTTTGCCAAATTTCGAGGTGATCTTATAAATCAATGACATTTTTTACTTTTTTGAGAATTTGTAAAGCTATCTCTTTGCATATCATATCGTGAAAGTACAAACTTAGTTTATGAATTTACATGCTGAACGAAAACAAAAAGAAATAGAAAAACAAAGTTTATTCGATTTTTAAGAAAAAAAAAAAAAAAAACCAAAAAATAAACTTTCTATACGGAACGACGCGTTCCTCTCGCAATTCCGTCGAATTTATTCCGTGACGTTGGATTTATAAGCCTTTTTATCTTTCTGTCTCTTTCCATCGTAAAACATGAAGCTGTAATTAAAAAGCTTTTCGTCGTCGTAGTCGAACGAAACGCACACGGCTCGCGAGAAACCAAGAAATTATGCTTTCTCGTTTCAATTTTTGTTTGAGTGTCACTCGAAAAAAGGAGCTACGAGTTTTTCCACCTTTTTCCTACCTGTTTACGCGTGCTCGCGCGCGAGCGTTTGTGTATGTGTGTGTTACTAACTATTATAAATATTAATATATACAGAGGGTAAATCGGAAATATATATATATATCTAAACGTTTGCATTTTTTCGTCCAAAAAAACAAATGAAGGAAATAAAATATTTTACATACTGGTGTAAACGTAAAAAATATTTTACGAATCTATCATAATTTTGGATATAGGTAACGTGCAATAATAAAAAAAAAAAAAAGAGAAAAGATAATTGATCTAGATCATATAAAAAGAAAAATTTATTTATTTAATTTTTTTTTGGTAATATTTTCACGTTTATGTGGATTTAGTAAAAATTGTCTCGCCGAAATAAAAAAAAAAAAAAAAAAAAGAGAAAAATAATTTTGCGTTGGAAGATTATTTCTTGATATCTTTCTTTGTATGGGAAAATGTACATGTAAAAATATTTTATTCTCTTGCGTAAACGAAGTTAACCGATAACAATCTAGTAACCGTATATGAAGACGATTTTGCTAGAAAACCGTTCTTTAGGTCACTCTCTTTAGATTTATTGCTACTTACTTTTTCTCTACAAAAATATATTCTTCATGTTTATTTATCAATTCTTTTAACTTTGCATAACTTTTTATATTTATAATTTTCTTACGGCGTCTAAAACTTTTATTACATTATAGCTATTTCTTTCTTTTCTTGTTTTGCACTTTGTTTTATATGATTAATATGATCAGTATAAATTTCAAAATTGTACAATAAATAATAATTTTCAAATGTTTGTATTCGTACGATTATAATGATATACAATATTTGAAATAAGTTTTGTATTCAATTCAATTTAATTAAACTTTAATTTTAATTGAATTGCATTTAATTGATCATTAGACTTCGATGCTTTCGATGACATATTTATGCTATAAAATAAATAAAGATAATAGTGTTAAAAGTTGTGTAAAGAAATTGAACCACGTTAAATGGTAAGAGAAAAATATAGTATCATATAGCATAGTATAGTATCGTATCGTTTGTAAGAAGAGAAGAAAGTTCAAATGGTTGGTCAGGTTAATGGGGCGTCGCGATTATATCTGTGGATAAACGGCTATAAATTCGATAGGAATTTCCGGATAGAACATCGCGGTTTATTGTATGTACCAGTTTTATGAAGCAATTAATTTATTGTACGTACATATCTACCTATAGACAACGCTTTCTGGTGTTCCTGCGAAAGAGGCTTTTGTGTGCATGTGTGTGTATATTTTTCCCCATAAATTCGAAAGATGCAGATGAACGAATAATTTACTACGAAAATCTGAACAAAAGGTGTAAAATTCGATTTATTTCTTTTTCAAATAAGAGTTCATCGTTGTTCATTTTATTTAAGAATTCAAACGCCATCATATTTAAATATTTGTTTTCTTTAGTATAATGTTCAAAGTATGTGTAATGTAAAATTAGAAAAAAGAAACATTAATTACGTTGCCTTGATCTTTCATACTTTTGAATTAAACCTTAATAAGTTAAAATGAGATGTGAATTATGAGCAACATAACTTAGTTACGAGTAAAACCTCTTTTTCGAATGTATTAGGTTGCGAAGAGCCTTGAGAAGTAACATTTTTTATCTTGTTCGTCTTCCTTCGTTGTATAGTATATACATATATACATACATGGATACATGCATGCATACATATATAGGTATGCGATATACTTAAGAGTGCTCTGACCTTATAGCAGAGATACACCAATGTAGATTTTAAAATGACGGCGTAAAAGAGGTTGAAAAAGCAGAGGAAAATTTCACCTATGTGTATATACATGCGCATTTTTATGTATATATGTATTTATGTACATGATTGGGCTGGAGAAATAAATCCTTACTCGATGTCGTTCTTTTCCATCGCTCTACTGAGATGGTGCATGTGTGTATAGGGTGATTTTAATATTCGTAGATGATTTTTTGTCCTAAATATTTAAGTCTTTAAATTAATTCTATTTTAATTTTTCTAATGGTAGAATTATAAGATGTTTTATAGCTATATTTATTCATATGAAACAAGATAATATAGATTTTAGAACTCATGTCTTCTTAGAATGGCGAGAGATGTAGAAACGATACTAGAAAAACATCAAATTTTGTTTATACATAATTACTATGTAAATGATATGCATATATATGCGAGTGTGTGTACTGCTGATGAGCGAAATACATATATGTACATACGTGTATATATGTTACCACTAATGTTTAGAAATCAATTATTCTGTAGATTAATTAGGGTGATCCATTAAAGTGTCAAAAATTGTTTAATTTATCAAATCACTTAAGTAATTTGCAAATAATTTATATAATGTTCATATTGCCTACTAGACATTCGTTAAAGTGAAAATAAGATCTTTGCTGGAACACAGCAACGTTTCTGTACGTTTAAATAAACATAATGTTATTTATTTATTTTTCTATATCTAAAAAATCAAGTTAATATAATCAAGCAATCAAAAAATAAACTTTAAGATTATATTACAAATTAAGTAAAAATGAATTTGCAAAACATATGATAAAATTATGCTTACTTATTTGTTCAATTTAAAGATTGGTGATACTTTAAATTACATAGTAATTGGTTTTTATGACAAATACACCTATTTGTGGTACATTTAGATTTGCAGTCACATTTTCTGAAATCTTACCCAGTACCAAGGGACTGTTTTATTATTGTTTGACGTAAAGATATTTCTACAGCAGGAATATCCTCTTTAAAAATACTTGAATGATACGGAAGCAGTTAATATGTACATTAACAAGGTAAAATGCAAAATGCGG